ATATATATAATCAGGGGGACAAATTAATATTGAATTCCTTAACCAATCTGCCCAATCCAGGAGCCAGCAGGATTATGTTTAGGAACCAGCTCCATTGACAACAACGTTAAAAAACATCAAAAGGTAGGTGCCAGCTGTAATATTTTGTAGCATTGCCGATCTGGCTCCTAGGATTTGGCCAGCCCCGATTTACTGGTATAATCAGATCTGTGACTAGTTTCACATGGTCTGGCAGGACTGTGTTAAACAACTTGGTAGCAGTTTCTCTCGACAATTGATTATTCCATGAATTAGCCCATTATTGCCCTTTATCCTGTGAAGAGCCTTTTTTGGTGTTGCACAAGAACCAGGAGGTATTGAGGCCCAGAAGTTCCTTTTGTATCTAAAGTAGTTACAGCCTTTCAGCCCAACCAAGACATGGTTCTCCTGTCCCTCTGCCCAGCCCGATTTTCATTAGAAGGACATTTCTCTTTATTGTCTGGATGGTGATTAGGGCTGTTAAAGTGTTTCTCTCAGCTACTGCTTCCTTCAGATAGACTCACTCTCTCTGTATCATTCTGGATGGCCCGCCGAAAAGGTGAACTAGCTACTTGTTCCATCATTTTATGGTGGCTATGACAGACAATTATCAAGGCTTATGGTCTCATCAAGTTTCACCCTTTCCTGTCCAAGGCACACTCTACTAGATCTGTAAGTGTCTCTTGGGAACTTCTGCATCAGGCTTCTGTTTCCCAGATTTGCAAGCTGCCACCTGTTTTTCTATTCATGCGTTTTCATGTTCTACCGGGTAGATGTTCAGGCCTCATCGGATGCCAACTTCAGGTGTAAGGTCCTTCTCACAGCTGTCCCCAGTTCTGTTGTTTTCAGTAGGCCTGTTAGCATTCTGGTTGCAGTGTTGTCCACCCCTCATTTGGATCTTTTTTAGACATCCTAACAGTTAATTACTTTCTGGGTTCCTCAATAGATGAGAAAGAAAATAGGATTTTTGTACTTGCCGAAAAATAATTTTCTGGGAGTGCATTGAGGGACACATGTTTCACCCCACTGTGTTTATGATCATGCTCTCGGTACTGCTTGCTACAAACCTGAGGCATTCTGGGAGTAGGAGGGGTTATGGTGAACTGCCCTATAGTTTTTTTGTTTCAGTGTTCTGTCCTCCTGTGAATAGTAGTATAACCTGTGGACCTGTGTCTTTATTTAACCTCAATTACTATGTAACCCAACTGTAATGACTTCCTGTGTCCCTAAAGAAAAGGATTTTATGGTGAGTATAAAAATCCTATTCATTTTTTTTATGGTTTTATCTCTGTTTTATTTAAGGTGGGGTTTTGCACTATGGAACCGCTAAAAAGATAGTTACTGTAACAAAGATTGCTCCTTGGGCTTAAAGAAATGTAGTACTAAGCCATCTGATAAGGGATGAGTCACTGCTGTGAAGAATTATTGGAGTTCAATAAATGGTGGATTTTTTCTTTAGCGCAGCTGACGGCTAAACTCTCAACCTTTTCCCTTTGTCTTCTATGGGGTCTTCTTTTCATCTCTACAAAGCACAGATCTGTTTTTAGCATACTGGCATGTGTGGGCCAGCTCCTAGGGTAGCAGGGTTAGAGGAGGCAGCAGCAAGCCTTAAACAATTACTTTTGAAATGCTTTTTTTTTTTCTTTTCTTCGTCTGTACACCTCTGGGCTTCTGTGGCTAAATTCAGCAAAATAACTGTTTGGGAGAAGTGACTGCAGAGAGGGGTCAGCAGTCTCTTAGTTGTTCAGGAAACATGAAACCATTTCTCCTTTCTTGTGCTTGGTGGCCTGCACAGTTGAAAGGCTGCCCTGTATATAAAACACACCCAATGCTACTTCCAATATAAGCACATATGTAGCATTAGTTGTTACTTCAATAATCACATGACACAAAGGACGGACTTTGAATACATGGGCAACATCATTTAAGTATGCCTATGGCAACATGATGCCCAAGTATGGCCTTACAGAATTCTACTCTTGGTACACAATTTCTTTTCTTATCCTCTATCAAATTTCCTTTTACCCTTTTTACTATTTATTATTTCCATTTATTCTTTTTTCTGCCTTCTCATTCTTTCCTCTTTCTTTTTTGGGCATCTTTTAAGCTTCTGCTCTTGCTCTGTATGTATTCCTTTACATTTTCATTCTCTTCATTTTACTCTTCTGGCATTTAGGGAAGCACTTCTTTACAGGTAGTGTTAACTTGACAGCTCACAAGGCCATCTGTGGGCTCCTATGGCTTTTTTTGAGGGTAATCACCCCATTAATATGCCCCAGGATTGTGATTGCCTTACTATCTTGGCTCAGGGTGACTCTGATCTCCTGTCAATGCCACTGCACATTTTCTCTAGACTGCTCTTTATCCTCCAAATTTCTGTTGTAATAGATTTCCTTTAAAGCCACACTCCAGGCAAAATGAAATATTACACACTGCATTGGGTGTGTAAATCATGATTAAAAAACTGTTATGCGCAGACGGCAGCTACAAAGTACAAAAAAATCTTACCTTGCACCATGGAGGAAAGACGTGAGTTGAGCAGTACAGCGATCCAGTCGCGTCACCTGCCCCCTCCTCACCATCGTCCATTTACAAAATGTCTTGTATTTTTTCTAAGAATACAAGACTTTCTGTGATTGAAGGAAGAGAGGTGTGGTCGGAGATTTAACATAATCTGTTCTTCTCCAATCAGAGAATATCTTGTATTCTTTAAAAAAAATACAAGATATTTTGTGATTTATTTATTTTTTTCTGTGATAATGTTTTTCAGAAGATGCTTTAGGTTATTTCAGTGTAACATTAAATGCCCCAAATTTAACTAAAGTTGAACATGGTGCCAATAAGCTTGAAATTAGAATTATAATTGTGATTTAACTACAGATGCCCTGTGTGATCATCACACCACGCTCACTTGCACCTTTTTTGTTACAAGGGGGAAAAAAACAGGGGACATAGCACATTTTCTTCACAACATCTAGTAGAGGTTATGACCACTGCAGTAATTGAAAATGTTTGAAGCCTGTGTCTACATCTTATGATGCTTCTGAGGTCATTCATAAATCATTGAAATTATAAAGGGCCTTAAGTGCTGCCTCTGACACTCCAAGAAGGCAAAACACAATAGACACAATAGATAAAAGACAAAATGTACAATGTTCCAGTGTTCCAGCTGTATTAAATATTTATTGGTTCTGTAGGAGATCTGCAGCAGCTCGTATCCAAGAGCTGTTTAGAAGAAGGAAAGAGAGAAAGGAACTGGAAGAAATGGATATGCAAAATGTTCGACAACCTTCTTCAAAAATTGTGTTCAAGGGGCACCGGAATTCCCGGACTATGGTAAGGTAGATCTTTTCAACGGTTGTCTGTATACGTAACTAGAGGTTATATACAGTATTTGCTTATGAATGATCAGCAACTCCTGTGTTACATGTTGATAATCATTTATTGCCCAAGCAATCTTAGGTGTCTGTCTTATTTGTCTATTGTATAATGAGAAGTTTTTGGTGCTCTGAATAAAGTAGACTCGGCATCAGATATTTTTCCATGTTAAGTGCATGCATGCTAACTACAGGTATGTATTACCCCTCACAGATATCACAGAACTCCCCCTAACAATACCTTCATCTGGTTTTCTCTCCAGAAAAACAGTGTCATATTTGTTTACGCATAATCCAGGGCCAGGATCTACTTACTGGCTGAGATGCTGACTCAATGATGAAACAGTTGTGTAAATCCTGGTTCTTGTTTGCATTCTGCATTTGTGTTCACAAGAGTCTGATCAGCCCCTGCTGCAGACACTCACATTGTGACTTGCTACAAAGTGTTACACTGTTGCAGTCTTTTCACTGGGGAAGAGGAGACTGAGGAAATGCTCACGTGTGCCTGCTGCAGACTAACGATATCATCTCAGCCAAGGTTACTTGAGTCAATGTATTGCTCTGACATCTCAACTCACTTAAAGGAGAATTATAGGGAGAGTGAAATACACTGCAGCTGTCACAACTCGGCTCTATTGATCAAGAACTGAACAATCGCATACCACTGATCGCTTAGTTTCCAATTTTCTCCCTGCAGAGGGTGGTGACTGCCGGTCACCACTCCCTCCAGGGATTCCCCCCTCACCTCTCTGTTCCTCAAGCGCTGACTGCAGGGATTGACGGGGTGGGGGCAGGCACAGCTCTTGAGAGGCAGAGCCAGCTGTCAATCAGGCAGCAGGGAGGACCCTGATTATATTGTTGGCATCTTTCCCAGCCGCAGCACTGCTAATGTCCTCCTGTGACCCTGAAGAGAACTATTGGAAAAAAGATAGTCCTCTTTTAAGACAACTTCTTGGCTCCATACTCCTTTCTCCTCTTCTTGAAACCTAAAACAATTACCCTTGATTTGGGCTTTAGGGGATAGAGAGCAACAAGGCTGTTTCTAAAAAACTACCGCTATTATACCTCAACACCACAAAAACAACAAGCTTTTATGTAATGGTTTATTTAGAAATAATAATGTATATTATTAGAAATAATAAGAAATATACTGGTCAGGAAAGTTGGAGAAAACGAGGACACCTCATATGCACACGCGTCCTGGGTTTATCATCTAACATTTTCCGTTTTTATTTGGTTTCCAAACATCACTGACATTCCCTTGAGTTTGTTCCACAAATATAAGACTGGGGAGATAGGTTGCTTCCTATGTTTTACCAGCAGTCCCTGTTTAACTGTTTCAAATATTTTACAGATCAAAGAGTCGTGCTTCTGGGGTAAAAATTTTGTGATAAGTGGGTCCGACTGTGGTCACATCTTCATCTGGGATCGACACACAGCTGAGCACCTAATGCTCTTAGAAGCAGACAACCACGTGGTTAATTGTGTTCAGCCACATCCCTATGACCCAAGTAGGTTTGCTGAATTTTTTTTTCCTGGTTGTGGTTGTCAGATGAAATGTTTAGGCTTTGATCCCTCTTCACAACTGCATACTGTGATTTGTATTATGAGCCACAAACTGTATCTCATTTACTAAAGGGCACAATGGTTCCACTTAAACAGAAAAGGCAGCTTTCAGCTCTGAGGCGTAAAGACATGCCCATTGCACATTATTTTTGTTTTTTTATTACATTTTGTATTCATACATTAAAAGATAAAGCGGTTTTCTTTATATAGAAATTTTTCTGAGGTTTAATTGCCCTGTTTCTGCTATACTCAGACTTGTGCATGTTATGATATACCAATGTATTCAATACACTCCCATCACACATCTCTTGTTATGGAGGTTATCATTAGCTCTGACCTCAGCTTTACAGGTCACATCACGTAACTTATTCAAAGTTGACAGGGGTTGTCCAGGTAAAACCATCATTCCTGGCACATTTGACATTGCAGCTGATCGAGGCATGCTTTTTCCCATGATGCCATGATTCTTTTTTCCAAAAAAAGTTCAAGCAGGAACAGATTTCTGCCCTACTACCTCCTGCATGCAAGTCAAGTGTAGGAAATGGTCACATGTAACCTCCAGCCATAATGCAGCTGAATACATTTGACTTGCTATGTTTAAAATATCTTCCAGACAAATGATTTATTAGAATATGCATTTGCTATATTTTGGCTGGACAACTGTAACTCTGTTAGCTGACCTTCTTGAAGGTGTCCCCTGCCACTGTAGTTTGACATTAAAGTGACATTAAACCCTCAGATTTTTTAACATAAACCAATACTGTAATGTGTGTCTTACTGTAATCCATGGTTATTTCCCTTCTCTTTGCTGCTCTTCCTTTTAAATCTGTATCTCTTCTCATGCTTGGGGAGAACTTCCCTTTGCAGCTGAGTGCCTCTTCCTGTAGTGCTGGCTCAGGTTGTGAACCTGCACACAGACACCATGTATCCATTTCAGAGACAAGGCAGTCTGCTGCAAAACAGAAGTTCTGCCCAGCATGAGAAGACATAAGGATTTAAAAGGAAGAGCAGCAAAGAGAAGGGAAACTACCATGGATTACAGGTAAGGCGCACATTACACTATTGTTTTATGTTAAAAAATCTGAGGGTTTAATGTCACTTTAATGTTTCTGCCATACAACCTCACTACATATCTGTAGATATCGTCTGTATCTATCTCTATCCTTTTACCCTTAAGAGGGTAGTTGCCATGGTAGTGCACCTCTTTAAGGATTTATTGTGGCATTCTTCCATGAATATGATTTGAAATAGAATGTAATTATTAGAAATATGGAATTGGTCAATTGCCAGTTTATTTTCAAGCAGTTGTGAGAATAAATTAAGACATATTGTGCTGTTAAATAAATGAAAGTACCTTTTAGCATATACTGTGTAAACGTATAGAAGTTATATGCATCTCTGCAAGTTTATTTTTGATGCAACATTTAACTGAATTCTGGCTGTAGTTTTAGCATCGTCTGGAATAGACTACAATGTTAAGGTATGGTCACCTCTTGAAGAAGACAAATCCTTCAACTGGGCACTTGCTGAAGAGGTAAGAAAAGAGCTGTTTTAAATCTCTCTATCCTTAACCGAACTTTAAAGACTTCCACTGAAAACATTTTCTGAAAGTGCTTCAAAAAACTTGTAAATCAAAATGCGTAGACAAACTGTGTCCGCCATGCTCCATATTACTTTTCTCTGACTTAGCTCATAGTGTGCAAGCATTTTGACATGTTCCCATCACCCTTGTCTTTTCTGTGCATTGAAGCATGCTTTTCATTTGAAAGGGAGGAGCTGCTTAATTGGTAAATAGTATTCTATGATTTTGTACACTGGGAGTCTACTAGTTTGCAGATGTCTGTGGTTGTTGAAAGAAAAATGTAAATTTCAGCCAGTACACTTAATTATACAATTGAAATGATCTTATTCACAAATTTAGATTATCTTTAAAGTTCAACTCCATCTTTCTTATGTTTATTAATATGGGACAAGGCAGGGAAAATTCCTTTTGACTGCTGCGTGTTACCTATGCAGTTCCCTTATGGTTCTATGGGGAAGCGTTCCATAGGGAATATACTAAATTTTAATATTTACATTTAATTTTAAAGTGACTCTCAAAAACAACAAAGCTGCTAGCAGGTATAAAGTGCAAGCACCTAGAAGCATGCACAGCTCTGACACTTAAAATTACACTAAAGTCAGTCTAAATCTGACACTAAATCTTAAAAATGTATTCAAGTACCTCAACTATTAACAAAAATGTATCTTATTTGTATATCACTCGGCTGTAGATCCTCAAATCATCTCTGAATTTGTGCTGACACTGTCCTTCCTTCTGGAGGTTGACTACCTTTGTTCCCCATGGTCCCTGTGTGTGTTGCAAAGTAGCCACTGCTTCAAGATTGTTTGCACCCATGACTACAATCTCAGTACAAATTGGTAAACTAAATGTGGGATTGTAGTCCATCATGTGAGGGAGCTTGGAGCGGTGGCTACTTTACAACACACACGGAGGAGGGGGGGCACAGCAACTGACAGTGGTTCCTCCTCCCCGCTGGGTGTCGGCTGCAGCTTTCTGTGTCCCCTCCAACTGCTGCTGCGGGGATCGAAGGGGACACAGACCGCAACACCCAGCGGGTGGAGCAGAGCTGATGCAGCCGCGGAGGAGGCTAACAAAAGCCCAGGCACCAGGATGAAATTTCTAGTTGCCATGGTGACCTGGCACCTAGGATTTGGCGAGCCCTGAGTTAAGGTACTTGAATGCATTTCTAAGATTTAACTCCTCAGTTTAGTGTCACTTTAAGGAGACTGATGGAGCTTGCCCGCTTCCTCCTGCCCTTCCACACATTCCTATTGGACCAAGGAGGAAATAAGCTTATTGGAATGTGGTGGTGGGGGAGCTGGTAAGCTCCAACAATACCCAGAATGGCCCGGCTTTTGGGAGCTTGCACATTATTCCTGCTAAGTGACCAAACTACTTTAGGAATAATTCAAAAGGTGGCATGGGCAAAATGAACCAAGGTACACTTCTCCGGTACCCTTAGTAGAGGTGAGCATGAAATCTTTTTGTTAGCCAAGAACTGCCCTGTTTCCCAGAAAATAAGACCTAGTACTATTTTTGGGAATTGCTAAAATATAAGACCTACCCCAAAAATAAGACCTAGTTGTGACCCTTCCCAGGGTGGTGGCATAAGGGGGAACTTGAAGTGCCGCAGGAGAGAAAGAGCGGTGCCAACGAAACCAGCGCTAGAGGAAGCGAGGCGGCAGCGGAGGGAGCAGAGACGCATAAGCCGATGCCTGCTCTATAGCGCCGACTTCTGTCACAAGCGGAGTGATGCCAAATGCACTCTGCCTGTGAGGAATCGATAGTGAAAGTGTGCTTCGCTCATTCTGGCCAGCAATTGGTTAGCAAATTGCTCTTGGAAAGGTACGGCACCCCTGATTGCCCTGATTACCATATTTTTGTATATGAATACATGTAGACTTTTCTACATGAATAAGTGTGGATTGTTGTATATTAAAAAACAAAAACAAATAAGACTTACCCCGAAAATAAGACCTAGTGTGTTTTTTTGAGCTCAAAAAAATATAAGACAGTGTCTTATTTTCGGGGAAACACGGTAATTAGCCTTCGAGAATGTATTCGGGTATTTATTGCACATTGGCACTCTGTGAACTGGTTGTGTTGATTTTGTGCTACACTATGCCAAATTTGTTCTGGACTATATTTTTTCCATTGATTTTATGCAATCCTTGTTCACTGAAATAAATCACAAGGCTTGTTCACACCATGCCTGCTGAGCTGAGTTTTTCTGCACACCACTGCACATGGTAGGAATAAGTTTATATAAAAAACAATTGATTTCTATGTATCCTGTTCCCAGTATATACAGTATATGTGGGGTGGTGTGCAGAAAAATGCAGCTCAACAGACAGTGTAAACAAGCCCGTACTGTAAGGCCCTTACCCAAGTGTTATTTGCACAATAAGTGTTATTTGCACAATAATGCATGTCTTTCCACATCCAGCATATGCTTGTGCTCCTGGGTAGCTTTGCCTTTCATTTGTCACTGTCTACTGGAATATTGACGATCAAACATCCACCCCTGATTTCCTTTTTATCTTTCACCTTATCTTTCTCACTACGTATATTTGACGTTTTGTAACTGCTGTCATTCCAGATTATGTCAAGGAATGAATTAATGTTGGAAGAAACACGAAACACCATCACAGTGCCTGCCTCTTTTATGCTACGAATGTTGGCATCGCTAAATCATATCAGAGCAGGTAGGATGCCTAGAGTGTAAGCTCTGGAGTTGTTATCCTCATCCTTACATGAGGAGCCACTGACCTTCCACAAGCATGCTACCAATGAAGTTTATATTACCTTTAACTATAGCGTAGATGTGCTATTTTATATTAAGGCAGTTGTAGATAGTTTTAATAGCAATAGGTGTTTTTATATAATTAGGTGGAAATCTATAAATACCTCATCAAGCAATAACAGCATTGCTACATTGCAATTACGCAATTGTCAATTTACACAGCACCAGCAAGATCTGCTTCCGTGACAAAAACAAGTCCTGGCTGTAAAAATGAATTGCTACTAAATGTGGCCATTAAGCTGCAGGGAAGGATGAGAAGCAGGGCACACCACAAGTGCCCAGATTAGTTAGAAGTGATTTTGGGGCATGTGTAGTACACCTAAAGTAGACAACTGGTTACAAAAAAAAGCTGGAGGTCCCACACTTGCCTGCAGCTGATTTCATTACCAGCACCAGGGAAGTTACAAGATCCTTACCTCTGTAGTGTTGCTCAGATTATTCTCTTTTTTGCTGAAAGTACAGCTGCTGCCATACTTCTGTTCTCTGGGGCACAGGGGGCCTCACACAGGGGACCTCTCACTCAAAGAACATCAAGTATTTTATCACCGATAACTAGGTGCACTCTGATTGGGCAAGGGGCAGATTGTGATGTCGCCGCCTCTCACTTTGACTACTATAGTTGAACTTGATGGACATGTGTCTTTTTTCAGCCTGACTAACTATGCAATGATGTAACTATAGTACTATACAGGATCCCTATAGCATGACCAGGTATAAAATGTGCATCCTTATAGTGGGCTGAGCTGGACCAATGTAAGTATGAATAATATTTTCTACATGGAGTTCAGCTTTAAACAAATTGAACATTTTTACTAGGGATACCGTTTTTTCGGTATCGAGTACCGATATTTTGCTTTTCGGTACTCACCGATACCGAGTACCGATACTGGTGCTTCCGCTGGCATGGAGCCGGCTTCCCGGGCAATTGTGATTGCCCGGGAAGCCGGCCCCATGTGGTTTGGCTGGCTCAATTGTGATTTGGCTGGGAAACCAGCGTATCGGAGCATTTGGGCGAGTACCGGATCGATGCTAATTGGCCAGGAAGCTTGTGCCATGAAGCAACATGAAGTCGGCTTCCTGGCCAATCAGCATAAAGTCAGCCAATCGGTAATGACCCGGCTTCCTGATTGGCTATATGCACTTCCTGGACAATCAGGAGGCTGGTTGGCAAGTAATAATCCTCTTCCCTGATTGGTCGGGAAGCCGGCTCCATGCCGATTGGCTGGGAAGTTGGCTTCCCGACCAAGGAAGCAGCTTATTACTCGCCATCCAGTTTCCTGATTGCCCAGGAAGCAGGCTCCATGTTCCCCTATGGCACTGCTGGTTAGAGGAAATCTTCCTCTGACCAGAAGTTCTGGTATCAGGGGAAGGTATCGGAGCAAATACTCGGCATAGGCACCGATACTAGTATCACTATCAGTGCATCCCTACTTTTCCCTGCAGAATAGCACTGCCAGTGTGTGTGTGTGACCAGAGTTCAGCTTTGTTTCTTAATTTCCCTGTCACAGAGCAAGACTTTTATCAGAGCTTTATACGTCAGTTTATGTACTTTGCTTTAAACATAAGTTGTTCCCATATGAATGAAGAACCATAACCTTTCTGATAGGCTCATAAATTTACATCAAAAGAACTACTCAAAAAAAATACATGGCAATGATTGTGCAACACTGAAGACTTGAATGATTTCATGATGTTTCCTCCTCCTTTTTTCAGATCGATCTGAACAAAGTGCAGAAGGTCCCGAAAATTCAAATGAAGACGAGTGATGCAATCCAGTGTATATGAATGTGCTGTAACTTGTATATTGTACTGTATTTACATATGACAAAAGGCCTCAATAATATTTTGGTTTAGAATAATGTTTATTGTTGAGTATGGATTACGAAAAATGTAAAGCATTGTAAGTTATTTCACAGTTGTGAACAAATGCAATGGTGACTCCTGTTGTGTGCTACAGTTGGAAGGAAATCCTATTTACTAATTTATAAAGCAAAAAACCTTTGTAAGAATATAAGTTAATAGCTAATGGGTTGTATGATGTATGATTAAACGTTTGTGTTGTACAAGCACATGGTAGGTTGGAAAACAAATCTGAAAGTGTATTTTATATGCTAAGGGCAGTGTGTGGTTTATGTTTTCATAAGTACCAAATGTATGCAGCTTTCCTTCAAAAAAAGAGCCTTTAGAATAATGTCTGCCTGCCTGATGTCAAAACAGAGAACTGAAGTGCAGGTCATGTGATAGCAGGTGGGAATGTACTGTGGTCTCATTTCTATGTAAGCCATGTTTCTCCATCATCTTTGCATCTTCTTCCTTCATCAATGACTTGCACTATTGCATTTTATAAAGCATTAACAGTGCATGCACAACTTTGCAATACCAAATATATTTTGTCAGGGAAAATGAAATGTGACATTTCAATAAAACTCTGTTCTAAAATGTCATTTATCGTTTGCTGGGATGTAATGATGGTGTCTGGACGTTCTTGCGCCTGCTTCAAATGTATGTTGTCGTATAGAATAACAAAGGTAAACCGGTGCAGCCATCAGGCGCAGACAATAGAGCACGGAGAACCAATCAGCCAAGGTTTTACTTGAGGAACATTATGTCCATTGATAGCAATAGAAAAGAATAAGGAAACGTGAAACAGTGGCCATTTTTGGAATGTGTTTGGACTTTTAAACCTCTAGTAATTATGTTTGATATACAGTATATGATTGATCACCTTTCTTGGGCATTTAAAGTGTATCTAAAGACATTTTTTTGTGGTGAGGGGTTAGAACCACTGTCAGATTTTTATTGCTGTTTGTTTCCCCGTTGGGGAGAACAATCTTTCAGTGGGATATACCTAACTTTGTAAAGATTTCCTCTCACTTCCCGTTGTGTTGTCAGGTCAGGAAGTAAAGGAAAATCTCTCCAATGGGATATAGATGGCAAAAATCTGAGAAGAGTTTTGAAGTCCATTTCCACCTTTTGTTAGTGATTAACATTTATTGTGGTAATGCAGAGGTGCAGTGATGATGTATCTGTGTGCACATTTTCATGACTCACATTGCTGACTTTCCTAATTTTTTTATGAAGTTTTTATTAGGCCCGAATTCTTGAAATTCAACATTTTTCTCCACAGGAAACACCGTGGTCAGAATGTAATGCAGGCTGTATACTGTTATTTATTGTAACATGATCACTAAACACCAGCTCTGCCTTTACACACAATACACTATCCGGGGAGGAAAGCTGAATACTAATGAATGGGGGGGGGGTCGGGGGGAGAACTCGCTTGTAATGTACACACATTGCTTGCAGAGCACAGAGGCAGCCATTTCCATAAGGATGTGAAGAGGAAAGCTAAAAAATGCAAGTTTATGTGTTCCTATACAGCAGCTACCTATACCTGCTTAATGTATACACAGTGTATATTATTGCTGGCATATGGTTTTTGTTTGTTGGTTCTTGTTTTTTTATACTTCAGCAAAGGAGGGATTTGTATTTTAAACCTTCCCTACACCCAGGTGGACAATTCATTTTCTCAAGGGGCAACATAAAAAAACTGGGACTGTTGTGGAGGGCTGAACCAACAGGCTGAACTTAATTCTGTTCAATATTAATTTTATTGCTTTATAAAAAGCAGTAAATTATATGATTTTGATTAGCTGCTACTGGTAAGAATACATGTTACAATAAGGCCATAAAAATGTAGAGTAGGTCAAATAGAGCAGTAAAAAGGCCAATCATTATATCACTCTTTTATTTTATTTTAATATAACATAACATACTTTTTACCTTCTGAAAAACAAACAAAAATCTGATAGAGGTAACTAATGTAGGAGGCACTCCAAAGGAGGTAACTAATAATTAGCTGTCCCCGTCAGTGTCCTCTTACATCTAAAGAAGACAACTAATGAAAGGGGGCAGTCTGATGAGGTCAACTAATAATTACAGTAGTTTTCCATATCAGAGTGCCCTCTTACATTGATGTTCCCATCAGAGTGCTCCCCACTTTTGTAATTTATTTAGGCTGCCCGTACACCTATAGATTATCTGCAGCTTTTCTATGGTCAGATGGAAAAAGTGCAACAGATTCCTCCATCTACGCTAAACTGTGTGGCTGGAGGAATCTCCCACTGGGCCAAGCATCAGTATCTTGCTAGTCGGCACCGCTGGCTGTCATAATACCTAAACAATGCCTGCATCCAAATCGGAAATTGTTCAGGTATTTTGAGAGCCAGCAGGACCGACTAGCAAGATACGGCAAGATACTTTTTTCATCTGACCATAGAACATTTGCAGAAAATCTACAAGTGTATGGCCAGCTTAAAAAGGCACGCTGACGGAGACAACTAGTGTAAAGAGGGCACTCCGATGAGAAAAACTAATAGTTGTCCACTTCAGAGTGTCTCCTTAATTTGGCTGGCCCCATTTGAGTGCCCCTTGTTGTCATAGTTTAATGTAATGGGGCGCTATGATCGGCACAACCAATGTAAGGGGGCACACTGATGAGGACAACTAATTATTAGTGCCTCCTTACATTGTTTGTCCCCTTTAGACTGCCCTTTTATATTTTTGTCCCCACATTTATTTTCCTACTTGTTTGGCTAGAGGCGGGAGCCAGGAAGATAGTCTTCCATTCTCCTGTAATGCTGGTTGTGGGGAACACATTTGACATCACTTGTTGCTATGACTGCAGAGGAAGTGGACACCTGATGCCATCGGTTGCCAGGACATCAGCGGTGAAAAGGAGGGGGCCTGTGTCAGATGTGACCTGGAGGCTGTAAAATGTGTGTCTGCCCTACACTATCTAAAAGAGAAAAAAAGGTTTTGGCTTGAAATAAGGATGAGCAAGAAAATACATTTTGAAATGTCAACATTTTCCATAGGTATCTTCTGACAAAGGAAGTTATTCAACCAGAGAAATACTGACAATTCAGTGTAACCTGTAGTTGAGTGCTCCGAACTATGCCAAATTATAATGTTTCCTAAAAATTCCCTTTACCATACCTTACATCCAGCAGATACCCATAGTAAATGACATGAAACTTTGTACTGGCTGTAAAAAGAATGTTGGGTATCCCTTGTATCGGTTACCTGTTATGTCTATGGTGTCCTACACGGCGCTGAAATATGTGATGTACTAGGCCTGTAGCTTCTTCCTACAGCTGTCTTTATTAAAGTAGATCTAAACCAAATTCCTAAAATGCCATGTAAGCTTTAGGCTAGGTTCTCTCCTGGGCGATTTGTGACCGCGCGGCAGTCGCCACGCCATTACTTTCCAATGGCACCTCAGTCGCGCTGGGCGGATCGCACGTTTCCCACTGCGATTTCGCCCATGCAGTTAAACACGATCGCAGCTAAGAAAAAAAAAGCTGTGCGTCGTTTGTTGCAAAAAAAAGGTACTTGTATCTACTGAACATAGTTATAAAAAGATTTAAAGGCTTTTTCACACCATGTGCTGTGGCCTGTGTTTTTTTTCACACTGGACCAATGCAGATCACTGCAAGGGCAGATAGAAAACAATGGAGGGAATTGATGAAAACTGGAGCAGACAGACTATGGAGCAGTTGCCCCTAGTACTCAATCAGCTTCTCTCCTCAGTTTGTTCAGTAAAGCTTTGAAAATGAAAGACAGAAGCTGATTGGTTGCCATGAATGACAGCTCCAGGTTCTGTCTGCTCCAGTTTTCATCAATTCCCCCATTGTGTTTTTTTCGGTGCCTCAGTACACATCACAATGCTGTGGAGATGTGCATTGCAGTGAGCAGCATGTATGCATTTTAACACAACGTAAGGCACATGGACGCCTCTAAACAACTCTGACTGAAGGAAAGAAAGAAAAAGGCAATTATTTGGACCCTTCCAAGAAATCGGACTGAACAATGTTCGACAATAAACAACATTAAAGAGGAACTCCAGGAATTAACAGTTACCCTTCAAGTGGGACTAACTCAACACTGCAAGGGTTAACTCTTGTTTTAGTCTTGGGCAGGGGGTGGGCAACTGCGGTCCTCCAGCTGTGATTTAACTACGAATACCATTGTGCCTCTGGGAGCCACGCCTGTAACTGTCAGTCTTGCAAGGCCTCATTGGACTTGTAGTT